TGCGTGTCGTCGTGTGTATTGAAATCGATGCACTTTTCCCTCCGGAAATCGTACATCACGACATAGAAAAACTTACGTCAGCGCAGTGAATTATTCTCGTGCATTTGTTTTTCGTTCAGGTATTCTGGTTTCGAGTGTCGTTTTAATTGCGTTGCGCAATTCCGCCGAACAATGAAAGAATACCACGGCGGCTCTTTTTGCCGATTCCGAGAAGCGACATTCCTCTTCACGATCGATTATGTAATTGCGCGCATCTTTATCGGCCTCGTTTCATCTTGAATATCTCGATTCACTTGTTACGTGAAAATTCTAGGAACAATCGAGCGAAAAATGCAGGGCGAGTAAACAGAATTGAGAAGGCGAAAAAGTATCCACTAAGGTCGTTATACTCGATTTTTGCGCTTATCTCGGCAAAACTGTCGATAACCCTTTGAATCCGATCGTAAATCCAAGATGGCCCAATTAACTCTTATCTTTTAATCCTTGGCAAAAAATAAGTCTGAAAATATATTTTGCCCATTTTTGGTCAAGGTTTGAGACAAGTAAACACCATTGAACTAATTTCAAAACATAATCCAAAGTACATTGTTTGCTTAAGATAATTTTCACACGTTTTTATCTCGAATGTAAAATCGCGTGAATAATTATCTTGCATTTTCACGTGCGCGAATTCCAGCGAATTGACCCCACAATCAAGGCGAAAATAATTTTCTTCAATCATAAATCGATTAAAATCTTTTTGGCTTCGCCTTGTCAAGTTCGTCGGCGGCGTCAAGGATGTGGCGGAAAATAATTTATAACCGCGTGGCAACGAGTCACAGGGAATTTCAAGTGCAGCTCTGCTCGCCAAAATCCATACCGGCTTGAGAGATGCAGAAGCCTCTCGTTTGAAGTTTCTTTTCCCTTTTCAACTGCCGCCGCCGCCACCGCGAAGAAGCTGGGATGTGTCAACAAACGCGCAGAGAAAGTCCTTGCAGATAAATTTACCCGCGGCTGCATTTTTCATCGAAGTGCATTAGCCGACACGTGATGAATAACTGCAAGACAACGCTAGAGGAATGGCAATTAAGAGACTTAGTGTACCGTTGCAAATAGAGGGTAGTTTAATTAATGCAAACTAGACTGTATATGAGAAGTTATCAAACGAACACATTCATCTTTGTAAAATTATTAAATTTTTATTCTAAATTATTATTATTTTCTTTATCAATTTTTGAGGACATTTTATTCATATTATATTATATTTTACCAAATTTATCAATTACAAAATAAAATTTATATTTGGCTAAATTTGGTCTCTTAAATCCTCAAATTCTAAACTTCATCTAACTTTTCAATGGATTTCTGAAAATTTCACTCTGAATAGGTCTAAATATTTAAAAATTTTATATTTCTCTTTCTTAGTTAGATTTTTACTACAGTTTCTGTTATACAATTTCTTCTATTTTTCTTAAATTTGGACTTTATTGTATGTAACTGAACAATAGAAATAATTTGCTGATATCAAAGTATATTTGTTGTAAATTCAATAATTTTTCTTTTCATTTTTCGATCTGAATCCCCTTTTATTTTTAAAATTCAACGGATCTTTAATAAATGAGCCGTTTTGTTTTTGAATAAAAATAATTTTTCAACCAAGAAGAGCGCGAACTCTTCATTTCCTTTCCATTTTGAAAATAAAATATTGCGCAGTCTTCACACGAGATTTGCTGTTGTTCGTGATTGAATGGTAATATAAGACACAATCGCGCGGCGGCAGGTTTCGCGGGAAAAAGAAACACGCGGCTCTCTTGGAATCAATCAATTGAGCGCTGGGGCCGCGCTGTCTGCCGCTACAAAGAGGCTCGTCGCCGTTAAGCCACTTTCCAATCGCATATTTATTTTATGAAAAACCAACTGAGGGAAGTAATTAAAGCTGAGCACAAGGATAATGTAATCAACACTCAGCTACACGCGCGCGCGTGGTGCAATTTCTATATTATGGTAAATCATAATAATAAAATATAAATACACAGGAGGTTTCTTTTGGAAGGAAAAATTGAGGAGGAAAAGAAACAAGAGATGACTGGAGAGCAAGCAGCGAAATCGGGTTTACGATTATTGCTGCCTCAGGGCAAAACGTACTACGCATGCAAAAGAGGCGATTTTTCCTCCAACTGAGAGTCAAGAACGATCAAGTTGAGGTCTTGGGATGGATATACGACTTCAAGGATTCAAACTCAAATCATTTGAATTGTAAATAGAAATGTTCTCTGCCACACTATAAAAGATAGAAGAAAATAATATTTTTTTAGAGAAAAAAAAACCCGATGTTTTATACAAACAGTTTTTAAATACTTTTAACTCATTCTTTTTAGTTGAAATTGTTAGTGTTTGATTAAAATTAAAATAAAATCCACTGAGCGCTCAAATTAAATTCATTTTTATTTTTCAAATCTCTTGCATTTTTACAGTTGTAATTAATTTTTTTTTTTTTTTTTTTTTTTTTAAAGAAAATTCATAGAAATTTTAAAATAAGTGGAAATCCCTAAAGCCGTGTAAGAATTATTTAATCAACAATTCAAAAGAACAATTCAATTCAATTCAATTTATTTTTCTCCAAACAAGTCAATACAATCAATTGTGAAAAAATTGGTTGGGAGAAAAATAGGCACACAGTGCTAGTGAACAACTCACTGAAACTCATAACCGACAGCAACTTATTCAAACGCCAATAGTTAACTCCATGAAGCTTAACCGCCTGTGACAGAGTGCGTAGCAAATTGATTGATAGCCATACCTTCACATGCAAATAGGGAAATTATTGAGTGTTAGTGGATTTCCAATCAATGACCAGTTATTATTTTTTCTAGTCATGTACCAGTATCATGCTGCCAATTATCTATCGTGATTCAAATTGATTTGATTTCCACCGAGGCCGACGAGAATTGAAACCAGCACCACCACTGTTAAAGCATCACGCGAAGGTTTCCCTTGTCGGTGCCACGCAGTCTGGCCTTCCAAGCCGCCGCCGTTTTTCAGTCCAGACTCTTTCCTCGGTGATTTGTTGCTGAATTAATACATAATTTGGGTTCTTTTTTTTTCGTTGCGTCATTCGCAAGGTTTTAGCAATTCCGAATGAATAAATTTCAAAGAGGAAGAAAAGGTCATGTAATATGCGTGCGTGCGTTTTAATTAAGTTGATGCAAAGCAAAAGAAACTGCTCGTTTGCGTAATGAAAGAACTCGTCTGAGAAATGAAGGGTTCGTTTGCCTTCAAATTACAGAGGACAACTGCCCATTTGATAACCCTAGGTTTGCGACGTAAAAAGTTTTAGTAGTGCGCACAAAATGTTTTGGAAAAAATACAATTTTTTAAGAACTTCTCGTGACAATTCTTATCACAATTATTTAACAGCAAAAATGCTTTATGTGGGAATCCCTACGTGAACCTCTTATGTAATTAGTGACTTAAGCTCTCACGTACGCACGTTCAAGAGATTGATATCACGTGCGCGCAATTGATCGATCACGGGATATTCAAGTGTTTTCCCGCAAATAGCTTTTGAATTGATAAAATTTTGAGTTCAGCGCCCGCCCTCTTATCGAAAAACGGACTTTGATCGGTGTCTTTTCCCACGTGCTTTTGATGGAACGTTGGTTTCACTGTCTGCCTCAAACCTGACGGTGCTGTAGTGACCTGTTTTTTGCGCCGACCGCGGATTGGTCGAGAGAGACGGCCGATCTGGCGATGGGTGTGGCCCTCAGGTCGCCTTCCAAGAAGGATCACAATTATATCCATCGGCAGGTGCGCGCGGCGTTCAATGAAAACGCATGCAGACCCAGCAGCCGCCATTCATGCTGGATCGAGCTGGAAATAATTTTAGCCGCCGGCGCTTTTATGACTCACATGACGAAAAAACTGACTGGCCAACTGACACCGAGTCCGGTTCTCAGCGGTTCTGATCAAAGACCCTTTCATTTAAATCACACTGCTAGTTTCCACACTGCTAGTTTAAAATGGGCAAAAATTATCAACAAATTTGGGACCTTTAAGAATTCACAATTATTTTACAAAATGGTTTCAAATTTCCCGCCATTTTGAGGCGAAACTGAAATTTTATATGAAATAAGTAATTATATTTCAAATTTCATGATTAACTTTTTTAACTGTTTTAGTTGAAATAAAAGAATATGAGGCTCAAGATAAAAGGTGCAAATATTTGAAATTTTTATTATTCACGCTGCTTCCCGCCGTTTTGCACGTGCCTTTGTTGCCACTGTACTGTCAGTTGCCTTCAAGTGCAGCTGCAAACAACAAAGGGCTGAATTGGAAACACGGCGTGCCGCGATTTGCCTCACGTGAGCGCCGTGTCCGATTGTCGTTGCGCCATTGCGGCTGATTGACAGGTCGAAAGTTCGCGCGCGCCGATGGCAAATCGAGGCTAATCCTGCCGAGACGGCCCACAGACAGACCGACGGCTTCTGACTGACCCACAAAACTCACTCGATTGCGATCGATCAGCAAACAATCAGTCAATCAATATCAAATGAATGCTGCATTAATTAGCTTCATTGCTTTCAACTCTCTTTCTTGATTAGAGTAGATAAGTACACCCAACCCTTCCGCACACTGTCTTCACGCACTTGATGGCTTTCGAAACTCACTTTGCATGACCCTACTCATTCCAAACCCTTCAAAGTATTAGTGCTTTTGCTCTAGAAGTTTTTGCTTTTTTTGATTATTTTTTTAAGCCCTTCGCTTATGAAATGTCTAGGTGCGTTTGAACTTTTGAACTGCAGATGTCGCCACTTGTGGAGTCGATTGACCCTGCAAGTGGAGCCACCTGTTGTTCAGTGAGAGAAAATCACACCTAATCGTTTAAGATTCGCTTCGAAGGTGCCTCTCCACATTTTCCCTCCATCTCTCGTCCTTTCAAGGCCATTCTTTCTTTGACCTTTGAGGCAGAGTCAGTGACGGCTGTGTGTTTTCTGATTTTGATTTTGTTGGACCCCGGGCAGTTGGTTGGCGCGCGCGTTAGCGGCGGCCTCTTCCCGCGCTGGAGACCTCCTGCTGTCGCACCGACCTTCGTCGGGGGCACCGAGGGCACCCGCCCAGCAGCCCCCGCGCCACGGTCGCTCTTCCTCGCCGCGCGACCCCAGCAGCAGCAGGTACCTACTTCTGTTGTGGCTGCTCTTGCTCTGTTTTAGTTGGCTGCCCTGCTTATTAAAAACTTGCTTTTAATTTCCTCAGTTTCCGCCCTCCTTAAATTTTAGAAAACTGTAGTTTTTGTCTGATTGTTGTGTGTGTGTATGTGTAATTTGTTTTATATGAAATTAACGTTGCTCGTTTCGCACGCATTTTGTAGTGAGTTGAAATTTTTTTTATAAATCAACTTATCTTCATTGTGCATCTTTTCGGGGATTTATGAAAGAAATACACGTTGCTGCCACCCGTGCAGTGATTTTTTTCACCTATTTTTTAAGGCTTTGGACTTTCAACGTTAATATTATCATCTCTTTAGTATTTCTCTAGGAATTCTGTATAAAATTAGACAATTGACAAAATAGCATGAAAAATTGAAAAATTCAGATAATTCTTTTATTTTTGGTGAATGATGACTTTAGTTTATTTTGTTTGTTTCTCAATTTATAAAAATTCACAAATTGTTAAAATTTTATTCAAATTTGGCTTGAAATGGAATACACTTAAAATCTAAACGACGAACGAATCTCCTCGTCACTCGCTGAGTGGTTTTTTAAATAACGTGTCGCTTTCACGCGGTCGTCACGTGCGAAATGAAATATTTCGTCTTTACCCGTCTGAGTCTAAAGAGCGCTCAGCAAATAACAACAACACAAATAATTCCAAATGCTGACGTTATCTTTTTGATGGATATACCAGACCATTAAAAAATAATAGATCAAATCGACCACACCTCCACGGAGACGAGATGAGACTTTGGCCAAACAAACATGTTATGAGGTGAATTTCCCTCATCGAGATAAACAAAAGCAAACCAGGAAGTATGGCTGAAGCAAAGCAGACCGCGTGGCGCCTCTCAAACACACATGCATGTGCCGCTGGCCCCCGTGTTCCGAGTCACAACAAAAACACGTGACCCAACAATATAATTTAAAATTTACGTGTCAACAAACAATAAACGAGGAAAATTTAATGACACACATATCGTCAAATGACTACTGCGCGTATTTCGCGGAAAGGGTTAATTGTTTACCAACAACTGCGCGTCTCACTTTTTCCTTCTCCGATTTTGCGACGACATGTAAGATTGACTGACTGACGCGAGAGTGAATTAATCCAGGAAAATCGATGAGAAAACGTTTTCACGTCGCGTGCCGTCGGCCGGAACGATTGGAAGAAACCCGATCCCTCGCCGAGAATTTTCTCGAGGGTCAACAAACTGAACTGCTGCGATTTTCGCCGTTTTCGGAAGAAAGTTTCTCCAACGGAGAGGTCAGAAACAAGCTCGTTTTGAGCAAATATTGACCGGCTGGATATTTGTCTGGTCGCCATCTTGCCGGCGAGGAGCAAATTTGCATGGTGCTAATTTTTTAAATGCGTGTGGCGCCTTTGCGTTTAGCGCAATCCAGATCTCGTCTGATCATTTTTACCAACTGGTGAAGATTTTACTGATTTTTTGCTTTAAAATTCAAGGCGTGTAATATAAGAAATAGTTTACGGCAGAAAAGAAGTATGGAAAATGAACTTATTTCTGGAACTTCTTATTATTCCTTCTCTTTTATTGTGTCATAAGTGATATTACATTACACTTAATAAGAGTGTATTTTTTAATTAAGTTAAAAGTTTTTCTTTCTAATTTGTTTTTATGTTGCCTGGTTAAATTGAAATTCAATATTCACTATACAGCAACCGTTTCTGTTCAAAATTAAAATTAATTGAATGGAATAATAATATAATTTAAATTTAATATATTAAATCTCTCGGTTGAGGTTAAAATCTATTGATTAAAAAAAAATATAATATTTCCTATTCTTTAGCTTGCATATATTTTCAATTTAAATTTATTTAACCTTGAGAACAATAAAAAAACCTTCAGTTTTATATTTGATTTGATTTGATTTCTTGAGTTCAATTTCCATCCTCCCAATTATAACCCATCTAAGTATTCACACCCTTCCTCCTCCGCTTTATAAGACCCAAATTTAAGCCCATTCTAAGTTGTCATGTTATGAATTGCGCAACAAGTAACGAGCAAAGCAAGTCGCCGCGATTTTGAAACTTATCCAACGAAATTGCTCGTTCAATCGCGCTTGTAAACGGACTGTTATACCGATCTTGTTTTCGCACGCAACACGTTGCTCGCAATCCAAATGGGTACGGAAAATTCTGCCGTCGGAAGATTGCCATGTGGTGCAAACGAAGTTTCCGCGCGCCCCAGTTTCCAATCAGCCGAGGTACTTCTTCGACGTGTGTTGCTTTTGACCCATTTCCCCAAGGATTCCAGGAATTGATATGCATTGGCTAATCTGCTCAGGCGATCGAAAAGTCGGACCGAGCAGTCGAAATTGCCTCGGGTGCGTTTTTGGTGAAAGCACGAAATTTGCATTGTGCTCCAAGAGTGCTCGATTAATTGCGATTTATTCGCGCAGCTTTCTAAACACTATGACGGATGAGATCACAACACCTTTCAAGCGCCGAATATTACTCTTTAATGTAATTTGTATCGTCAGCCAAAGCGGAACTACAAGTATTCAGCACGCAATTATAAAAAAAAAAATCGTTAAATACAAGCAAATTTTAAGAATAGATGAATTTAATAGATAACAAATTTTACAAATTTTGATTATAAAGCTCTTGAATTAAAATTAAATTTAGTTGTTTGCATTCCAAATTTTTTATTTGATTAATTTTTTTATCAGACTTCAATCTCTTTAATTTACTATCATTCCAAGATTTCAAAAGCGATTAAATTTAATTCTATTGCAAACATAATATTTTTATGACTTTCTTTCAAGAACAGATTTATAGTTAAAAGATACTTTTTTTAATTCAGTTTAAATGCCAGAAATAAACTCCTATTTAAAAATCTGCTTTCTACACTTCTAGTTTTTCCCCGTCACATAGTTAAATGAGTTCCATATGACATGTTTTCCCTTCACTCAATTTTTCTCCTTTGGAAATCCTCCTACGTATTTTTATTTACATCTCTCCACTGAGAGAACAGTTAATAAATTTTGGCCGATCTTGACCTTCAGGGGTAGTTTTTGCGACTTGTTGGTGGTCCCATGGGCCATTATTTAACCGGTCAAATTGAGCGCATCTGTCTTGGTCGTAAATTCAGGGAAGAAAAAGTAAGAAGTTTCTCTCGGTCGCTGATCTTGGTTGTGACTTTTGAATAAATTGCCTCGGCGTTTGGTTCGAAAGAGACGGATTTCGCTTGCGGATTCGGAGCCAAGGACGCGACAGTGCGACAAATTCCAGAGCCTCGGGAGGGCTAATATTAGAGACGTGCACGCTAAGGTCAGCAGAATTGAGATTGTGAATCAGCCTCACCCAGCCGTGGAAAGGAAAATTGAAAATTGGCACTTGCACTCAAAGTCAAACGTGATATTATTTCTCACAATGCGGTGTAATTTTGTCCAAGGGGTTAATTTTGGCGTCCTGCGGGGAAAGCAAATTGCCTGACTGTATAATTTTTATAAAATTAAAATATAGAGAGGAAAATTATTGCGTTTGTCTTGGGGAAATGTTCATGAAATTTCATATAAAAATAATAATAAACGTAACAATGCGTTTTTTTTTTTTTTTCATATAAATTCGGCGATAATTTCAAATTTAAGTAAGCAAAAATTTTCATTTTCATTTTGTGTCTCATAAATTAACTTTCTTTTACAAATTTTACATACTAGTAATGACAAGTATGACAATCATCTTGATGTTAGAATGAAGGAAAATAGTAAAGTTATATATTGATTTGCATCAATCCTTTCAACTGCATTAAAATTAGAGCCTCAAAGTATTATTATTCCCAAACTGCGCGCCGGTGAGAGTGTTCAGCAATTCTGCGCCCACCGTCTTCCTCTCAAAATGACTTCACATTGAAAAATGTGCATGTTGGAAGTGTTTTGCAGAGCCTGGGGTCTAAAATCTGACTCATCGCGCGCACCTGGAGAGCACATACTGACGCAAGCACTTGATTCAAGTGCATCACCTCCCTCGCTTTACACCCAAATGCGAAGTGAAAGAAAAAAACTACAATTGATGAAGAAGCGTTGAGGCGAGGGTCGTTAAGTTGATCGGTGACGTCAGTGCCAGGGGGGCAGTCGTCCGAAAAAGGGAATGGAAAAATCTGACGTCAATCGAAGGGACATCAGTCAATTGCTTGGAATCCAAAAAGCAAAGCAAGGTGCAAGATTTAAGGCTGTGAAATTGAATACGAACGGACCCATTAGAAATGACGTCAACGCGCTTATATAAATCGGTCACTAAACGTTTATGCGTTTTAAACGTTCTTTCCTTTGGTTGGAGAAAGTAAAAGGTGAAAAAAAAAATTTAAATTTCGATATTTTTCCAGTGAGAGTTAAAGTTTTCAGTGAATTCTTTCAATAGAGAGGAAAATAAACAAGGCTGCGATGCAACTGGAGCAGTGGAGACAATAGGTGTGTTTTTAGATAATCGTTTTACTCTGCAAGTGACCTCAGTTGGTTCCATGGCCGACCACTCGCGCCAAGAAAACGAACAAAGTGTCCGGCCATACACGGCGAGAACAAGATTCAGAAAAATCCCGACTACTCCAATTTTAATTACACTTAAGTGCTTAACAGGGCTAACAGGCGTTGAGTATATCAAGTAGGCGTTTAATGCACTTTAGAAATTTACAATTAATTCCGCTTGCGTCAGAAATTAAAATTTTTAATGCAGGTTTCTCCTGAAGTTGCAAAGTATAATTCATTTTTATGAAGGTCCAAATTTCGTAATTACTTTTGTAATATCCTCCCCTGGTTACGCGAATGTCACTTTGAAATAATTCGTGCTGCGACCTTCAAGTCTGTCAATTAGCGACAAGTGATCTCGCCGTCTCTGTTCTTACTGCGTGCGAATTGGCGAGTGTGTTTTTCATCTTATCTGCTGCCGTGTCTTTATTACTTCTTTATATATATTTTTTCACTGCGTTGCTCGAGCCAAG